AAGCTATTGTTTTAACTGTGATTGAATAAAGCCATGGATTAATACCTTTCATTTGAGAAGTTCTTAATAGACTTATTATACCTCGAACAATATTTCCTTCACATTGACCATTGGTTTCGTCAAATTTTGTATCTAAATATGTTGTGTCTACATTATATGTTGATTTTAAAAAGTCAAGTGTTACACGACATAGCGCACAAATAGTCATGCCATAATGTGTTGTGTCTTTATTCTGTTGATGAGATGATGCGAATTCTATAAATCCAGCATCGAATCCATAAATTATATTCAACTTTAAAATAAGCAATAAATAAGTAAATATAAACGTTGTTTGATTAGAAGACATAAATGGTCAAGTAATGTTTTTTGTAGACCAGATCATACTCAAAATATTTATCTTAAAGAGAATCGATTTATTATTTTTAATATTCTTTAAACGTAAACAAATTCATTTTAATCGAGAATTCGTACATGTTTACAAACACAGAAATAAAAAAATCTTTGGTGTGGAATGCTAGTGTCTTAGAAGCATAATTATATCCACACCCTCAATATAGTTGGGAATGAGCAATCGTCCATGGCTTGATTTCATGACTTCTAGTAACGTGCTTATCACTTCTCCATAGAAGAGAAATGCCTTCAGTATTGATCATGTTAATTGGAACTCATGGTTCGTTCAGAAGATTTGTTGGTAAAACTTTCGGACGAGTTCTATAGGAAAAACTGACCAGATTTACTAATAAATTTAGTGCCAATAGTTCAGTCAATTTTCATTTACCTAACATGTCTCTTTCAAATGGTAAAAACGGCAAGTTTCTAACTGCTTTCGTTGTGGAAATATTTTTAAAAAAGTGTTTAAGTGAACTACTCATGGAAACCAGGAACACTTATTTTTATAAATAAGAAATGAAAAAGAACGAATTTAGTTTGCGCCGATTATTCATCAAATGTTAAGAACAACTGAATGATTGTTATTGTACAACTGTTTAACGATTTATCTTATTTCAAAACAATAAATAATTAAATGTTTGTCTTATAAATATGATGTATTAAAGGAAAAAAAGCTTGATTTAAAATACAATTTTGTTTTTAATAAAAAGAATACATTTATCGTTGTGAGTAAAACTTGTTGAAACATTTGATAAGATTAAATATTTTAAGAGAAGAATGGGATTTAATTTTTTAAAATTAATTCAATTTACTGGAACGATTGGCTTTATCTAATCATAGTATAGAATATATTTGAAGTTTACTGGAAGTTGTTTACTATCCCAATGGAAAGCATCAAGTTCAGGTTGATGTGTGTTCGGTATATTTCGATTCATATCGGTGACACATTATTCTACATTGATACTAACAAAGATAAGATTTTTTTCTACTAGAAGATTTACGTGTGCTGATTTGTATAGCTAGGAACTTTTCGATAGTGGGCAATAACTGTTCGAGCATTGCATAATTGTCACTAGCTAAAAAGATCCGTGGACAATAACTTTTAGAGTCGTAAGCAATTGCCGGATGGCCCTACCCCTGACTACGTTACTGGAAATAATAGTTTGCGTTTAAAATCACCATAGAGACATCACTGAATGAGATCGATAATAGAATCTTATTCAAAATCAATCTGTATGTTTTGTATAGATGAATCAAAGTAAATATGGTCCTGAAAGAGTAGTAGAATTTCAACTGATTCTACCCTAGATTTAACAAGGGATCGAGTGTGAGAACGAAAAATATAGATCATTCTCTTTTTATTTTCTTGACTTTCTCCGACAAAGAAAACGACAATGTGAGTTGTCATTATTCAACAAGTAAATAAATAATCATCGCCAATTCCAGATACAGTATTGACACCCAATTGTTCCAAGTATAGTGACATCCACTTGAATATTTACTGATGATGATAGTGAACAAAAGTTTTATTTTATCTCTTGAGTGACTTTGGCAAAATCTAGATCTTCATAGTAACAGAATGAGGCTCTAACTTTAGAAGACATCTTGATTGATTGTATTCAGTACTCATTTGATTTGCTCTTGTTTCCTAAGTCAGTTCAGAACGAGAGAACTTACGTAATCTATTTCACTGCTAGACTTATGTTTCTTGTTTCGATAACATAATATTGAGCAGCTTGGTTTCAGTCTTTTGTTAATCTTTCTTCAAACGTCATATACTATATTGAATCTATAAGACAAATAATCTTTGATGCAATTATCATTTCAAATCCAGTTGCTTTTATTTCTTCTTTTCTTTCGAGTAGCGATGGAGTGAGATGTGATTGCATTGTTCTTTCATAGTCGTAAAACATACATCTAACCTTATTACTTCTTTTTACATTCGATCAATTTCGTATACAGTAAAACATGCAAATGAAGAATGCAAAGATAAGAATGGCGTTATGCTTATAAATGAGCAATAATTTCTATTGGATCGAAACTCCAAATATTGTACAAAACAAAGTGTAATACAAGTTGACCAGATCAAGGGAAAGAATGGTTTTGAGTGAATTATAAAGGTAAAAAAGTACTCAAAAATGAGCAAGAGCATATTGCAATATTTCAAAACGTGTGAAGCCATGTTATTATTACTTAATTTGCGTTATATGTTTGATAATTAGTCTCCATTGATAGTTCACTATTTGAGCCGAATGGAGTCTTGAAAGAAGTTGCGTCATGACAAGTTCTTCTGTCATAAATCTGTGCAATCGTGTTTTATTTACTCAAAAGATCACATTTTCAGTAAGAAACAAATGATAGCGATGCGTCTTCTCGAATCAATCGATCAATGTTCAGATGATCGACAGTGTGATGACTGTATCGACGCATTCGAACGTATGCAAAACTCACTCATACATTCCACTATCTTGTACTCATGTTGACGATTAGATTGATAGTATCAGTAAGTGTTACACGCTTTTATTGGCTACCAGAAATACTATGGTTGACAGTCGTTGCTTTCAACGCTCGTTCTATTATTAGATTGTTGCTAATTGTTGTAAACATATTCTTTTATACCAAAATTTGTCAATAACTCTAAAGAAACCTACTTCGAATCCATTATATACACGCCTCGGGATTGGACCCATAAATATAGCATACCTTGTCTACGATGCTTACGACATTCTCCTTCTCACTATCGATGAATAAAATGCCCGATATATTGAAATGTCGCTCCATTTTGAAACTTATGGGCGATATGATCAACTAGAAAATGTAGCGTAGATATCTTTGAAGAAAAATGTTAACATATATTTTGTCAATAATGAGGAATTTCTTGACATTATTTATACTCCCTATGAGAAGTTGGTAGCTACTGGGGATCATGAGGGGGAACATTTGCTGAATACTTTAAATTTACGCGTTCCTAAGGATAAATATTTGAAGCTTGGCACGGGTTTGTTTGGATAAAGTTCTGCGGACTCGCGTTTTCTCAATAGTGTGTCTATCTGGCTATCAAATGATATAAAACTGTTGGCGATTTCGTCGAAATTTGATGAGGGTGATAGTGAAATAAAGTCCTCTCTTCACCGTCACTCTCACTCACCATCATCTCAGGGATGAGCGAGTCAGGCGATTTCTCGAGTCGAGTCGAGTCACCAATGCTTTCGAGTCAAGTCGAGTCAAATTATTTTTACGATATTTTTCGTTTTCTGTTTTGTTTATAAAGAACGTCAACCACAGATTTTTCATTACACGATATGTAGGTCCGAGTTTTTACGCACAAAAATAAAAATAAGAAGTTACACAGAAAATAAAATGCTGCAACTAATCTAGATTAATCAACAATAGAGTCCTGCAGCCCTACCCTACCATATACCCTACCCTATACCCTACCCTACGCTAGGGTAGGACTAGGGTATGACCTTCGTAGGGTAGGGTAGGGCTAGGGTATTACTTTGAAAACTGTAGGGTATTTCAGGGTAAACTTTTTATTATGTCAATCTGGTCTATTTAAACGCCCGACGTCTGGCCATCCTACTATAGAATAATATCTTCTATTCATAGGGGAATAATGAGAAAATACCTATTGGCTGATTACTGCCAGTTATTCCTTAATAGGCGACAAAAGCTGTTTATGTCTTTCGTTTTT